GAGAGAGAGAGAGAAAAATTAATCTGTATCCGCGCGATTAAAGATTTCGATGATTCATAATATTCTATTTTGAATTCACCGTGTACACGGTTGAAATCCTGTTCATATAATAACATTCCATAATTTTAAATACGTATTTTCTGTTGCACAACTTATTCGTTTCGAAAACGTATCGCTCGAAAACGTCTCGAAACGTCTCGGAATTAATTAATCATAATTCGCTTCAAGAGAGGAGGAGGAGGAGGAAAAAAAAAAAAAAAAAAAACTAAAACAAACAAAGTATCAAGCTCAAACGTCTCTCGAAACGCGGAATTAATTAATCATAATTTCTTCGATCGTGCGAATTATCGATCGTCGGTATATACATCGCTCACGATGCATTTGTTCGAAAATTCTATTAAAAATTCTCTTCGAATATAAATAAACTCTCGTTACGTTTCTCTCGGAAATCGATCCAATTATCTCGAAATATCCCCCTCCCCCCTTGATTTGTGTCCTTGATTTTCTCCTTCTCGGAACGAAGAACGTGTAAATACGAAGTCACACTTGCGGATAAACGGTTTCTGGATCGTCGTATCGTATCCAGCAACCCCCACCACCTCCCCTCCCCTCCCAAGCAGCGTCTGGCGGACAAAGTATCAAAGTCCCTGGCGAATAGGTCGCAGCGGACAGTACGCTTCTTCCTTTCGAAAAGGTAAGAGGAGGCTTGTATATAATTCGTGCGCCGCTTTCGCGTTTTTTGTTGTTTGGAAAACCAGTCGACCTTGGATCGACTTATTCGAATCTCTTTTTTTCTTCCCTTTTTATCTTATGGTGTATGTAAATTTCTTCGAACTTGTTTATTCGCAGGATTAATTTTATTCGTGCGTGGTTGAAAAAAAAAAAGAAAAATGAAATTAAAAGTTGTTCGTTATGGTGAAATGAATAACTATTGATGACGATGAATATATTTGGTTGGGAGATATGGTGTTAATTTTATTAATATGTTGTTCAGAATGTTGTCGCGAAATTTGATTTGCTTTTAGAATAAATAGAATAAATCATAGTAATAATTAATTAGTAATAATACGATTGTGATTAATGAAAGTTTTGTTTAGAAAGTTGCCACGAAACTTGACTTTTCCGCCTTTACAAGTTGCCGTCCTTTGTAGTATAAATATAAATGTAAATAAATATCGACGTGCACGATTTCTTCGAGTCGACTTCGTTTTCACTATGCTAATTTTCATCACGCGTGCATATATACATATATATATATATTTCTTCTTTTCAGAATCAGCGAATGGTCGAGTGTTGAAAATGAAAGTGTTAATTTTCGCCGCTGTTGCGGTATTCTGCGTCCAATCTGTGCTCACCGTCGACACACACGAGCACAACAAGGTTGTGTGCTACTGGAATACCACGGCCTTCGATCGACAAGGTTCGAAATCATTGTAATATATTCGATCTCTAATTAAAAATTTCTATTTCGTCGAATAATTAATTCTTCCTAATTTTTTTCCTTCTTTTTTTCGCATCGAATCGTTCTGGTTTTCTTATCCACAGGGCCAGGAAAGTTCCAATTGGACGACGTCCAGTCGGCTCTCTCCCTCTGCACGCATTTGATCTATGGATTCGCGGGGATTAACGCAGAGACGTTCGAAATTGTCCCTTTGAAGCCAACACTGGACACAGGGGCAGGTTATTCGTATTACAAACTCGTCACTCAGCTGAAGAGAACATTCCCAAACCTCAAGATCTATCTCAGTGTCGGTGGAAACGCTGACCCCGAAGACGAGACTCACAAATATCTCGTTCTTGTGAGTATCTTTGATGAAAATTTATAGTGAAATACAATCAGTCCCGACGAGTTATCCGATTCCTCTCGTTTGAGGTGACAGATTCTCTACTAATTTAATCCTATCAGCGATTCAAATTCATTTGAATTAAAAAAAAAAAAAAAAAAGGAAAAAGTAATAACGATTATTATATATTCGATCTATTCAGACCGAGACATCGCAATCAAGATCGAAATTCATCAACTCTGTGAATCGGCTCCTCAACGATTACGATTTCGACGGGATCGACCTGGCCTGGCAATTCCCCCCCGCGAAAGTAAAGAAGGAGCGTGGCACGTTTGGATCGATCTGGCACGGCATCAAGAAGACTTTCGGCTACGGTAAATTCAAGGACGACAAAGAGGTGGAGCATCGCGACGGTTTCACCATCCTGGTCCGTGACTTGAAGGCCCAGCTCAGGCCGAGAATGAAGGATTTGACGATCGGCGTCCTGCCTCACGTGAACAGCAGTGGTGAATATCATTCCCCCCCCTTTTTTTATATTTATTTATTTATTTGAAGTTATAACTCGAACACGAATATCGTTCGTCTCGTTCATTTTTTTTTTTTTTTAGTTTATTATGATGCGAGATTGTTGGCGCCCAACATCGACGCCGTCCACCTGTTACTTCGATCAAAAGTCACCGGAACGGAATCCAAAGGAAGGCGATTATCCAGCGCCCATCTACGAGAGTTACGGTCGTGTTCCTCAGGACAACGTAGATTCGACGGCCAGGTGAGGCCAATTTTATGATTTTTTTAATTACCCTTATTTTTCCTCCTCCATTGAATTTTTCTTCCAGAAACAGATTTTTCCAAACTTCTTAGTGTTCAAAATTTCTATATATAGCTCAGAATATATATATTTTTATTTTTCTTCCTTCGTTAAATTTTTTTCAAGAAGGAACAGATTTTTCCAAGGTTCTTAATATTCAAAATTTCTATACATATTTTTATTTTTCCTCCTCCATTAAATTTTTCGAAAAGAGCATCGAAATTCACTTTACAAAAAAAAGAAAAAGAAGAAACAGATTTTTCCAAACTCTTAATATCCAAAATTTCTATATACAACTCGGAACATATATATTTTTATTTTTCCTCCTCCATTAAATTTTTTCAAGAAGAAACAGAAAATGTTTCAGAAATTCGTTTTACAGAAAATCGTTGCACGAACGAAAAAAAGAAACAGATTTTTCCAAGGTTCTTAGTATTCAAAATTTCTATACATATTTTTATTTTTCCTCCTCCATTAAATTTTTCGAAAAGAGCATCGAAATTCGTTTTACAAAAAAAAGAAAAAAAAGAAACAGATTTTTCCAAACTCTTAATATCCAAAATTTCTATATACAACTCGGAACATATATATTTTTATTTTTCCTCCTCCATTAAATTTTTTCGAGAAGAAACAGAAAATCGTTGCACGAACCAAAAAAAAAAAAAAGAACAGATTTTTCCAAGCTTCTCGATGTCCAAAATTTCTATATATATAGTTAAAAAAAAATATACAATATACAAATTAATACACAAGATACATAAAAATATGGGCGAAGTATCGATTCCGTTTCAAGGTACTGGCTCGAGAACGGGACTCCCGGCTCTAAGATCGTTGTTGGGATTCCAACCTATGCCCGTACGTGGAAGCTCACGTCGGACAGTCAAATATCAGGGGTGCCACCCATCGTGACGGACGGGCCGGGGGCTGAAGGGCCGCATACCAACACGCCTGGCCTTCTCTCGTACGCGGAAGTTTGCTCCAGGCTGACAGAGTCCGCGGTGGGCCGTTTGAGACGCGTCGGCGACCCGTCCAAGAAGTATGGCAGTTACGCGTACCAACCTTACAACGAGAACACGGGTGAGGATGGAATTTGGGTCGGTTACGAGGATCCTGACACGGCTGGGAACAAGGCGGCCTACGCCAAGGCGAAAGGCTTGGGCGGGGTGGCCATTTACGACTTGTCGTTGGACGACTTCCGCGGTGTCTGCACCGGGGACAAGTATCCTATAATAAGGGGCGCCAAGTACAAGCTGTAAAAAGTTACTAGAGACTGTCGAGGAAATATATTAAAAGAGTGGAAATAAGTGGCCAACTTTCATAAAGTTGGAAGTCATTTTGAAAAATATCTTTCTTGTCTTCTTCTTTTTTTTTTTTTTTTTTTGTTTACGTTGAGAAGAAGTTTTCTCCCCTCCAATCGAGTACCGTGCATTTGCTTTTTACTTTTTATATCTGCAATTGTATTTTAAGTCGTTTCGTATCGCTATCGTTCGAAAGATATTTTACGTTATGAGTTGAGAGAAAATTGATTTGGAAAAAAAAAAAAAAAGAAAAAAAAGAGCGTTGTATTAGAAATTACGTATCGAGAATAAAGAATGAAAGAATGAGATTATCTTCTGGTCTCGTCAAATTTTTCCCGCCATATTCGGTTGATAAGGTAGCGATCTGGGATAGGTAGACAGATTAATGCCTACGTACATAGATATATGTATATATATATATATTTTTTTTTTTCTTCGTGCAGTCTATGAATTCGGATAAACACATTTGCTCGGGTGTGTATGAAAGGTTTCATTGTAAATGGACTAGATTCGTTAAATATATCAAACATTAGGAGTTATGGCACACGAGATATACAACTAATCCATAGCCACTCTCATACGTAGAAACATATAACGTTTTCGTGGTTACCATTCTGCTTTCACTTTGCTCCTTCGAGATAGAACGTATAAATCATTCTCGAAACTTTCTTCGACAACTCGCGACAACAGTTTTTTTTTACCAAACACTCGTGCACAAACGTTGGTACAATGAACGGTATACATAGACATCTTTGTTCCATTTGGTTCCTGTGTTCCAATCCCTCGTTCCATTAAATCGAATTAATATAATGAGAAGGAGAAGACAAAATTTTTCTTTCGAACAATTTATATAATTTTTTAATTAATTGGGTCAAATGATATACGTGTAATATTGTAATTATCATTTTTGTATAACAATTATAGTTTATTTTCTTTGTAACAAGTTCGTTTTAGTGGAACGACGAATCGGAAACAGTTTCAGCAACACGAACACATCCTGCACCTAACCGTTAATACTTAGAAAATACTAGGCGTGGTAGTTGGAATAGCTTACACTCTATGGTACAGTTAATAACTCGTAATATACTCTTTAACAGGGGTAGGGCACTCGTTACATTACGTTTAATATAATGAAATATAATGAAATATATGTAGCCTTACAACGTACAATAACACAACTTTTGTTATCCCTGATACTTAACCCTAATCTATTCTCGGTCCTCGGTGAAATTTTTTAACCAACTCGAAACTCGTCCGTAGAAAATTTTTCAAAATTTCTTTTTCGAAAATTAAAATCGAAATGTGTAAAAATGTCCCTAAAAAAATTACAAAACGGATTATTAAATATTTTAAACGGCGACAACGGATATCACGAGTTTTGCAGAATTTTTTTTCTAAATTTTCATAATATTTCAAAATTTCAAAAAAAAAAAAGAAAAAAGAAAAAGAATTTCTTCCAATTCTTTTTTACGAACGAGCTCGTCACGATCGAGGAGGATTCTCTAACTAGGAACAGGACACACTCGACGACATTACGTTACTGAAAGCATATCTGTGACTAGATCAGCTCATCATGAAAATCGACTGAAGTATTGGATAGTGAAAAAATAAGTATACGCGGAGCTCTCTTGTTGCGTGACTCTCTTCTACGCTCTCTCTCTCTTCTCTCTCTCTCTCTCTCGAATAATTTTGGTGCCTCGACGTACTTCGAAATTATTGCATACACCCTTTAAAAATGCAACTTTTGTATAATCCGTTTCGTGTGTAATCGTTAAGAATGTAACAACTCTGAGAGAAACACGCGAAAAATAGTCACTCGTTACACTTCCCTCGTTACAATAGAATAATATATCTTGCTGATTGCTATTTTCAACTAACGACCTAACCTTTTAATGGGTAAAACAATTTTCTTAATTTCTCTCTCTTTAATCTATTCCTTTTTTTTTTTTTTTCCTTTTAAACATTTTCTCCATTTTCCCCTCCGTTATACAATAGAATGAAAATCTTCAACGTTCATTATATATTATTCTCAGACTCAACGAAGATCGGTGTACAAGCGTTTTTGGAAATACGAGACAAATTGATGGCGCCACTGTTCCCCCAACAGATCTATTTTACGTATTCTCTTTCTTCTTCTCTTTCGTTCCTTTTTTACTTAATTTCTATTCCCATTTACATCGATATATTATTATTCTTATTATTATTATTATCAATATTAACGAGTTGGTTCGCCAATGCCTACGTCGTCACGCATCTTCAGAAACGTCCTGTACACATAAATGCAATATCAAGTAAATGCAGATCACGGTAATTGGTCAACGCTTGAGATAAAATATCGGCATCGTTAAATGCAATGGCGACAACGTTTTTCTCATTCCGTATATTTATATTTATATTTCCCTTCTTCTTCGATAAATTCAATCGAATTCACAACGAGACGAGACGATTGTTGACAACATTCGTGTCATTCGTTAATGGATAAGTTATGGATAAATCGAGAATTTTTTTTCCCCCTTTTTTCCTTTTTTTTTTTTTTTTTTAGAATTTTTCACGCAGTGAAGTTTATCTATTAGAACAAATTATAATCGCGAATTTGTTAAATCTGTTTGAATGTTTCTCCGGGGACGGAATTAGTTGTGAAAAATACAAAAGCGTTGCGGGCTTAATTAGAATTTTTCGATCGCGATTTTTAATTCGGTTCACAGTGACGTGGCCTTTTCTTTCCACTCCAAAGTACGTGAGAATCGAAACTATTCCCTCGAATCGAAACACAAGCGTTTTTTTTATACTTTTTTATATTCGAACGACACAAGCGAAAAAAGTTTCACCATTTACTGTTCTGTTAGCCGTGGAAAAAGAATTTTTTAACTTCGATGCTGGGACAATCTCTCTCTGCGATCTAAGTAAGGATTTCCTATTTATATATCGGTTTTCTATACTTTTCACACTCTGCAAATTACTCGAATGTTCTCTTCGGTCTTAAACGATATCCGAATTTTTTTACAATAAATTCGATCAAGCATCTACAATTGGAATAATACGTGTTCAACACATCGTAATAAAATTCATTTCACAAAAATATCGAACGAGGATAATAAAAACAACGAAGAACGTGTGAGATAAACACAAAAATATCGAAAGTGTATGTCTCTGTTAATTGTATTTACGTTAAAAAAGGATCCTCCCCTATTTTTGGATGATGATCTTTTATCAAACTCAACAAACGATCGATAGTACTAAGACACAAGTCACACTGAACGAAGAGCTTTCTTATTTATAGTGGCGAAGGTGTAGCGTGATTGGATGCCCACGCTACGCAGCTTCCGAAAATCGATTCGAACGCAAAACGTGCTCGACACTGAGAGGTGGGTTTCGATTTCTAAAAAAAAAATATGTCTGGCACGATTCATTTTTCCAAACATACGTAATACGAGCTAAGATATAGCAAGGTAGTGAAATTAGTTAGCACATTAAATTAAACGTTTTGGATGGGAAACTTATAACTTCGATCAAAAGAAAAATCTTTGAAATTTATATCACAACTTCTCTTCTTTCTCTTCTCTCATATTTCATTATTGCTTGAACAATTTTCAAATTAGCCCTACGTCTTGACAATCTCGCTATACCGTGGCCCATATTACGAAATAATCGACCTCTCTACTAACTCGAATCAATTATATATTTTAAAAAGTAGCTATGAAAAAATTCAGATGCTCTGAAAAAAGAAAAAAAGAAAGAAAGAAAAATGTTCAACAACCAACCTCCAACGAACGAACATAATCATCTACGCGAGTTTCTACATGACGGAACACCGTGTGACGTTGTACCTAGTATCTTGGTCCACATTGTTCACGCTGAATACGCGCAGCAGCCTCTCCGTGTCCTTGCACGCCCCGTGCTTATTGGCCTGCTGCTGCTTCATCAGCATCATCGGCGTCTTCTTCTTCGTCCTCTTCTTGGTCTGCGGCAAGGTGAGCTCGAGCATCTGCTCGAGCCTCAACCGAATCGGCCAACCGCTCTCCTTGCACTCGTCCTCCTCGTACGTGGACTCGTTTCCGGACCTCTGCAACGTCTGGAACGCGTAGTTCACGGGCAACAACTTTCTCGGCTGAGCGAAGGAATCGTGGACACGAACGGGACGAGCCAGAGACGACCTCTTCTTGGCCGGGGTTAGAGGAGGTAACGGTTGGCTTCTCACGTTGGGTCTCACTGCCACTAGATTGTTACTACCACTCTTGTTGGGATTCTTGGATGGAACAACCCTGCCCTCGTCCACGCGAGCCAAAATTTTCGCGTTCTCCTTCAACGATGACGAGTTTATGGCCGCTCTACAGCTCTCCTTCACAATCAGATTGTTCCCCTTCGCGGCCTTCACCAGCTTCGAGTTATTGTTATTGTTCGCGGTCATTACGCCGGGATTATTGTTGTTGTTGACAACGGTGGTCACGTGGCGGCACTGCTCGGCACATTGCAGGCAATCGTAATACTTTTCAACCGCGTTACGTCGCGCCGAAGCCGAGAACCTCTCACGAAGATTTGCGCGATTCTGTCGCTCGCTTGGCTGCCGAGGTTGCTGTCACACCTCCTGCAGGTATTTCAACGGGCACAGTGTTTCCTTGTACAACACCTCCCCCTCCTTGCCCGTGTGGTCCGCGGATCGCACGTCTGCCGCGCAGCGAACCATCGCCACGCCATCTACCTCCTCGCCAACCTGAATCACGATCTAGCGGGCAGAATTGGGTAGATGGCGTTAGTGGACGGTCGACTGTTAAGAGAGAGGGGGATTCTAATTGGTTGGGAGGAATACCTGATCGCGAAGTAGGGTAATTTGGTCGGTCAACTGCAGGTTACGGGTAACCTGAAGCGTTTTCTGCCCAGACTCCACCCGCATCACGTAAGCGCTGGGAAAGTAACCCACTCGGCCGCCCAAACACTTTCCCTTCCACCAATCCTTCTCCGATTTGTCGATCACCGTCACTTTGTAACCAG